GTGATTCTGATGGGCTTTCCTTTGTATGTGATTTGTTTCTTTTCTCTCACTGCTTGTAGAATTTTGTTCTTCAGTTGGGTTCCTGTAATCCTATTATATGCCTATGTGTAGACTTTTTTTTGATCAAGGCTAGTTGGAGTCCTGTATGCCTCACTTATCTGTATGTCAAGTTCTTTCCCCCTGCTTGGGAAGTTTTCTGTCATCAGTTCTGTCAACAGTTTTTTTTATGTTATCTGCACTCTCTCCTGTTTCTTCATTGACTCCAATCAGTCTTATGTTATTCTTCTTTGCATCACCCAGCAGCTGCTGGATTGATTTCTCATGGTCCCTTATATTTTTAAAGCAATTTTTCTTTTCCTGGTCACTAATTGCAATCTTATCTTCTATATCTGAAATTCTGTCCTCACACTGGTTCATTTTGCTGTGTCTCAGTGGAGGTTTTAATCTCCTGGAAATCTGTTTGTATCTGTTTTATGGATTCCATTTATTTCCTATGTTGGGATTCCATCATATTCCTCAGCTCCTCTATTTTTTCAAGCTGTGTCCTCTCTAGATTTATTAATCATGTCTTGCACTACGGGCACAATCTCTGCTGTTATGTGAGAAATAATTTCTGATGTCATTTTTTCCAGATCCTCTTCTGTTGCCAGTTCAGGGAGTTCAGGTGGTTGAGTATCAGAGTGTTCCACCTCATTCCCTTTGGGGTTGCTGTAGGTGATCTGGAAGTCTGTTTTTAAGGCTTATTTATGTGTCTTGTCATTTCCACAGGGGTGGGGGGTGCTGCTAGTGCCTGCGCAGCTCACCTCCTCTGCCCTGGGAGCAGTGGAATGGCGGCCGGGGAGCCTCCTCCTGGGCACTGGGATTGGCTCACCTCCTCTGCCATGGGAGTGGTGGAATGGCAGCTGGGGAGCCTCCTCCTGGGCGCTGGGATTGGCTCAGCCATGTGTGTGTTTTGAGACAGGGTTTCACTATGTAGTTCAGGCTGGTCTTGAACTCACTATGAAGCCCAAGTTGGCTTTGAACTTGCAGTGATCATCCTGCTTCAGCCTCCCTAATGCTGGGCTTATAGGCATGTGCCACCATGCCCAGCATCCATGATATATTCATGGAAAAATTATTTTTTAAAGAGAAAAAGAAAAATGAAACTGCATGCAATCAAGTAGTAAATAGAGGTCTAATTACTTAGAGGATATAGGGTGGTAGGAAAATCAAACATCACCACAAGGCAGCAAATAGATAAATCCAAAATGTAGGACATTTCTATAAGACAAATAATCAAATCTTCAAAAATAAATGGCATAGAAGTTTCAAAAGAGGGAGAAAAAGAAGAAATATTAAGATTACAAAAGAATCAAGAGATATATTATCCAAAGCAATTTATGGACCTTCTTTGGATCCTAATTCAAATGTAAAAAAATATTCTATATGATGCGGACAATATGAATACAACATAGATATAAGACTATGTAAGAAGTTGTGTTGGATGTGATAATGGAATTATGATTAAAAAATAATCCTTATCTCTTAGAGACACATTGCCAAATATAACATGTTGAGTTTGATTTACTCATTAAAATGAATGTATTTAAATATAATACATTTTGAGTGTTTATTCAAGTAATATCGTCACACTAGCTAATTGAATCTAGTTTGAATTCATTTTCTTTCTTGTAAATGGACTCAAGAAAGGGACTTTTGCAGGTTTTGTTGAGTCTTGAGAAGCCTGTGCCTAGGAGGAGGCATGCTCCCCATGGAAAGTGTCTGAGCTGAGCCTCATGTGGTGGCAACTGAGCAGTCAGTGGTCAACAGTGGGTCTGGCTGATCTCTTTTCTTCTGGAAGTAGGTGGTGGGAGGGTACTGACACCCTGTTCTGAGAATTGTGGTGCCTAGGTAAGTAGGCATTGAGATACTGCCATACCCTATGGATTTTCATGTAGAAAATGTTCCCATCTTGTGCTTCTCAGACATCATTTTGAGGTGGTAAAGCTGACATTCTTATCTGAAGACCTTACTAAGTATTTTATTCATTCTTGTTTAAGAAATATTTTTATTGAAGGGATCAACCACACCTCCTGAGTCAACAGGGATCATGAAGTCCTGGGCAGCAGCTAGCTCTAAGGAGTTAATAACAAAATGAACCTTTTCAACAATACTACAAGTGTTAATGAGACATGTGCTTATTGAGTACTTACCAGCCATAAGCACTGTTGTAAGTGCTTTTCACCTATTGCCATATTGAATCCTCTAACAATCTTATGAATATTCTTGGAGTTCTGATTTGACAGATGAGGCAATTGAGGTCCAGTGAAGTTAATTAACTTGGCTGGTGTCATGCAGCTGCTACATGGTGTAGTTTGGATTGCACCAGGATAAGACTCAGAGACATTTTCATGTAGGTGTTCAAAGGTGGTGGTTGGATGGCAAGACAGAGCTCAGATGAAGCCCTGTCATCTCCTTCTTTGGGACTACTTACTGCATTCTCAGGATGGAAGATGTACGAGGCAGGAGAATTGTCAACAATGATCACTTTGCTCAGCTCCCGTCCTAAGCGACTCAGGTCCTTGACGTAGTTTCCTCGATGGAAAACACAGGATTCTCTGAAGAGTCGGGCCCGGAACACACCCCAGCGGTCTAGAAGGTCAGCCACAGGGTCTGCATACTGGACAGGAGGTGACACAATGAAGGTCAGCAAGAGCCAGACAAGTTTTTAAAAAGGGATTTAAATAACTGCAAGTGTTTTAGGGTCCTGGTTATATTCCATGTATACAAGGGAGCACTGGATTCTTCCATTTCTCTAACATCGAATTCATCTGAAATTTTTGTCAGTTTCACCTCCAAAAATATCCTGACTCCACCTACATCTATCTAGCTCTATTGCTCTGCACTAGGCCAGGCCTAAGTGGCTCCCTTTTCCTGCTGGACCTCCTTCTCAGTGTCTTTACCTCAAAGCTGTCAGAGTGGCCACTGGAAAACATATGTCCCATCATGTCACTTTCTTAAAAGTCTTTACTGTGTCTACCTATTGCACTTGAAGTAGGGCCCACTTTTCTCACTGCCATGTCCTGCAAACCCGAGGAATCATGAGAGGCTGAGATTCTATCAGGGAGGTAGAGAACATTTGTGCAGTAATGGGAAGGCCAGCAATGGAACACAGCAGCCGAGTCCATGGGAAAGTCCTTTCCTCCTCAAGGGCATCCTGAGGAAGGCAGTCTTACAGCAGCTGTACCTCCTACTGACCAAGTAGAGAGACTGCTTGGTCACTATTCTGGTGAGACTAGCCAAGTGGGTGGGCTATAGGAGGCTCATTCTGGACAAGAAAAGATGGCTAATTCCCTCATAATTATTGACACTGGTGTTGGTGACACTTATCTTTCAGGGAAGTACCTGAGTCAGGGTACTCCAGCCAAAGAAATGATGTGATGATGTGGGCCTCATGAGGGCAGGGACTCTGTCTCTTTTGTCTCCTGCTAAACTCCTAGTGTCTATCCTGAAACAGTAGGTATTAAGTAAATATTGCTGGGGGAGGTGATGAGACATATGACAAAGAAGCAGATACTAAAGGGATCTGACTGTCAAGTGTGGGGTTCCTGCATAGTTTGAGGTTCCTGGGTAGCAGGCAAGGAAGCCCACTGCACAGTGTTGCTGGCAGGGAATGGAGCTGAACCCAGATCCCAGAGCAGGAGTGACCACTCATCAGCAGAACATGGCCTCAGGGAGGAAAGGGGCTGGGAAGCTGCACTTTGGATCTAACTTGGCTCAGCCAGGCTGGAATAACAGTGAGAAGCAGGTTGGAGAGACAGATGGATGGGCAGGTGGGAGCAGTCCAGGAAGAGAAACCCAACAAAGATGTTTACATGAATACTTGGAATAATGCCAAGGAAACGTGTTTCAATTTTGCACAAATCAAAAACAACTTCCAGTCTTCTACACTGGTGCCATCTTCCTGCTGGTTATTTCTTTGGTTATTACTTCAGGTTCCTCAGCATCCCAGAGCACTATAGGACCCATCAAAGCTGCAGATATAATTCATCTTGGTACCACTTATCTGAAAGATTACTCCTGGGAGACTACATTTTCCTTGAGGCCAGTCTTTTTTTTTGTATGCAAAAATAAGGCCCAGGCTTTGGATTACCGCCCTAGCAGCTAATGGTCTGCAGTCTGGTGTTGACACTGGCAGGATGCTGTACAGGTGGGTTCTCTCTCACCTCAGCCAATATAGATATGGACCTAGCATGGAATGCCCGGCCAGCAAAGAATTGTATCCAGGTCCCCAGAGTCAGAAGCTCCAACACACAGAAGAAGCTGCTGCATGATTCCTTGGAGCAGGTCTGAACACAAGACGATGGTTAACCTAGGCCCTATAAAACTCATTTTGGGGGCCATTCAAGAGTTCCCGAGGTGCCCATGAAGACAAGTGGAAGCTGTTGGCCCCATGAGAGTCAGGGTTTGGGAGATGGCCATGGCAATGGCCTTGGAGGAGAAGCAAGAACCCACTTTATCTGCCCTAAATACAGCACAGCACCTCGTTATATCTGTGAAGGGGGGAGATTAAACTCTATCAGGAGCCCTGGGAACTTGCCAGTTTCCTTAAACAGTTGGAGAGGACAAAAACCCAGTCTACTGGGCCAGAGTCAGTGTAGACTCTCGGTCAGAGATTCATACTAAGATATAAGACCAAAGCATATCTGAACTATTTTATTACCACTAACGCTTATGATACTAAATACTGATCATCAGGTGCACTTATTCTGTGACAATGCCCAGCATGGTACGTAGAACATGGCTCACTGAGTATTTGCTGAATATGAGTGATGTTTTATGCTGTCTTTTCCATGTGCTATTTCATTTAATCCAACTCCATGAGGAGTTGGAATTATCCCCACTTAAAGAAGAAACTGAGGTGCCAGAAGTGACTTATCTGAGATTGCATAGCAACTTAGGGTGGAGTCAGCACCCTCTTCAGCCTATGACTGTGAGAAACTACTGACATGTCTCTCACTTGTTCTTCTTGCTAACCTGTGTAAGCTAAAACCGAAGACACAGGAGCCTCCAACATCTGGTTGCCCATCAGTGGATGAGAGGGGTCCTGTGTGCCTATGGCATGCAGTCATCCTTTTGCAGTCACTCTGGACATTTTTATGATTTCCTTGTCGATGGACAACAAACTTCAAAAGCCTCTGTGCACAGCAACTTCACAGAACATTTGTTCTAAGTGCTCCCTGTCACCATGGTAACCAGAAGCCTTTCAGACTGGCAGTGTGCACATGGCCTGCATCCATCCCATCTGGGGTGGGAACCTGTCACCATAAAAATAGCTTCCCCCACCTTAACAAAGGGCTCTTGACAGATCGGGGGTAGCAGTAGAGGGCTTGAGATGCTAGGCTGCGAGTCTGCAGCAGGGAGCAGGACACACCTTAGCCAAGCTGGCAGTAAAGAGCACACACTCGAAGAGCTGTCCCATCCTTTGGAGGAACTCATCCACATGTGGCCGCTTCAGCACATACACCTGCAAACAGCAGAAACAACAAGCTGGTCAGGCATAGCAGTTACTGGGGATGCCTGTGCCCAAATGACCTCTGTAGAAAGAACTGCCACAAAGGTCTCTGCCTCCTGCTGCCAGGTCTGTGTATGCCATTCAGAAGTCCTGACTACAAAGTCAGATGCAATACTTCTCAGATCACACTCCATGTCTGAATTCAGTGCAGATGACTCTCCCAAAGGAGAAAGAGAAGCTGACTGTGGTATTGTGGGTCTTGGGAATTTTGAGAGTAGTCAGTGGAATAGTTGTGCCATGTTAATGTGAAACTACTCATTTATTTTCACATGTATTTCTTGGCACCTGCTGTGGGTCAGGCCCTGTATGAACACAGGCTATGGTTTGGGTGCTGCTCTTTTGGAGGTATGGCTCTGGCAGTCTTCCCAGGAGGTTTGGGACTGCTCCAACTGCCACCTTCTACTCTGAATGGTACTTCCTATTCACCAGAGGCCTGGGGTTAAAAAGCAAGGGTCTTGCAAAGCTCCAAAAAGGTCTTGCTTGTTAGCTGGGGAAGACACCTACTTGACACCATGAAGGTTACTCTGCTAGGGCTATGTATTGACATTTCAAGGGATATGAAGCCAACTTCCTCCTGGGACATAAAAACAAGCCATCAGGAGGGGCCTGTGAGCAGAGTGGGATAGAGTGCCTTTTCTGGAATGGGTAGACTCTGTACCTCTTTGACCAGGCCAGGTAAAGCAGGTAGGGCTATAAAGGATCCAGGTTTTAGCTCACACATGGGTTCCTGACTAGGGAGCCTGAAGGAATCTGAGGAGACTGGGAGATAGAAAAGCTAATGAGAGAACAGAGGAAGTAGAAGGAAGGAAGAACCAATTAAAACCTGAATAAATTCCATCTGAAATTAGTCACTTCACAAAAATAAACCACTCTTTAAAACTGAATTCAACATATTTACTGAGTTGCAGCTCTATGCTCAGCCTGATGCAGTTACACAGATGAGTCAAACATGGGCCTTGCCCTTGAAGGACTCAGTCTAGAGCAGACACATGCAAAAATGTCTAAAAGTGAACATAGCATAATGAAAATAGTATGAGGATAAATTGAAGTTAATTAACTCCCTTTTCAAGGGGAGGAAATCACAGAAGTGAACATTTGGCCTGGACCTCAAAGGATGAATAGGATTTCATCAGGCCAGTAAGGATGAAAAGAGGAGCCAGAGGAAAGTACTAGCATGAGACCTAGAGGCCTAAGAATACCTAATATGTTAAAAAAAAAGACCATAGCCCAGCTATCCAAGGGAGTAAAAGAATATGGGGAGGGTGGTGGGAGAGAAAGTGCTTAAAGATGGAGCACATTGGAGTGAGCACACACAGGACTTCAAGCGGCAGATGTAGCAGGTGGGACTACTGTAGAAGTAGTAGAGGGGTGGTATGGGGGGTCCGCACCACATGGAAGGACAGGTTGCTGGCAGAGGAATTCTACATGGTACTAATTTCAATGAGCCAGAAATAGGCACTAGAAGGATCAGGACTGGTGGGAAACTCATGACTAGCCAAAAGAGTGGGGTGGGCATGGGTCTGTGGCTGCAGGTGGAGGGAGGGCCCAGGGAAATGGGATGTCCTAGAATGGGTGTCAACATGGTTGTGAGGAGCTGGGAGGTTGGGGTGGAGGATGGAGGGCAGGACTTGTGGCTACAGGGGCTCTTGGCTCCTACTTTGCCCATGAGACTTCTTGATGCTGGTGCCAGTAAATGGGTGCAGCCTGTGCTCCTGTGTCCCCAGGAGAATTGTTTGGAAAGCAAGCTTTGCTACATGCAAAGGACAAGATACTGATTTGGGAATTCTGGCGTTGGTGCCTCTGGCAGAGAGGAGGGTCCTGGGCCCAGATGCCGGCGTCCAGGCCCGCGTCCCTGTGCAAGTAACCAAGAATAGGCCCATTGGGACCTGCACAGCCTATCCTGGATTACTTGAACGAGGCCACGGCCTTCGCCAGGGCCTTGGTCCTCCTGCTCTTGGTGCCTGTGGCTTCCTTCCCCGAAAGAGTGTTTCCACCCCAGCCCTGGGACCCTGAGGTGTCCATTACCAAGTGAATCAAAGCACAGCCACAGGGAGGCTGGGAGAGCTGGGGTGGCTCCTATAGGCTGGTCATGCTCACAGCTACGAGGTTGGAAGGATTAATTTCTCTCTTAATGCTTGCCATGCCACTCGGCAGCACTCCTTTGTCTCCTCAAAAGCACTCTGCGACAGGAACCAAGGTAATAAATGCAGAAGTCTTAACTGCTTCTCAGATGCTGACTTAATTCAGTTGATACTTTTGCAAATGTTAAATGCCCAGGTATTTGCAGTTTTGGCTCCATGATGGCTTTTAAAAGGATGACGTGCGGAGATGCTATGGATAAAGCTGCTTTTCTCAGGACTGCTTTCTGGTGGGATTCCTGGAGAACAGGGCAGAAAGCAAGGAGTGGGTGGGGGAGAGGCAGAGGACCCAAGAATCAGGAAAAGAGTCCTGGGCCAGAAGGCAGGACACCGGAATTCTCATTTTAATTCTTCCCATTGTATGACCTTGAACAAACCCTTTCTCTGGTGGAGCTTCAGTTTCCTTATCTGGGCAATGAGGTGACTAGACCATCTGATGTCCAAAGCTGAGACAGTTCTAAAGCCCTGGACTTGAGAGCCAAAGACTACTGACATTATTCAGGAAAGACATCTTACTGTGACCCAAATATCAAGAGGAGTTTCCTTTCTTGGGATATGAGGCCAGATACTTTCCCTTTAAGACCTTGGAGTTGACAAGAAATTGGTGAGATCATTCCTGTATAAAATATGACAAAAGCTCCTCCCCCAATCTCCAAGGCCAATTTTCCTACAATGTTTCCAATATGTTCATAAATACAGCTATTTATGGAAGAGCTTCATGCAGATAAGGAAAAAATCAGAAAGAACAAAGATGATGCATGCCAGTTGACTATGGCATATTTATGCATAGTAGCCTGCTGATCTAAAAGCTCATACTTTCCCTCCTTTTCCTTTGGGGCTAAGTATTTGCTAAAGATTCACTGGAGAAAACGGCAGCAATGGTAAGATCAGTCTGTAGCAGCTGGCACTGGAAATGGACACCTTTTCCCAAGAATCCACCATGAGAGGGACTTGTGGCATTTCCTGTTGCCTGCTAGAGAGTACCCAAAAGCAATTACATGAGGAAATTAATTAGACCATCAAGCTAAATCAGTCGGGAATACAGAAACTTCTGAAAGAATGTATCAAATCAAAGAACTATTTGAACTTGCAACCACATCTAATATTTATGAAGACATAATTTTAGTTATAAACTCAGTATAAAACAAATTCAAGTGAGTGAGGGAAAAAGAAATATCATTGTATTTATTATGCACAGCCTGCTTTTGCATTGAATAAAATTATTACTGAAATGGGAATTCAGAAGTGAAGTTCACAGGAAATGTAATTATTAAAAACGCTCATTGCAACTCAAATTTAGCTTTGATTTCTTACCTGATGTATAGTTCCATCGATTTCAACCGGAACAATAAAATCAGCATTACTAATAGGCTAAAGAGAAGAGAAACTACAATTAATACATCTGAAAGAACAAGATAAAGTTGGAAATTTTAGCAAGAAAAAGGCTTGCCTGGACCAATGTTTTGATAATTTGAAAAAACAGTTCAGGAGAAGGATGGTTGAAGTATGCCTTGGTTCCTTGAAATAAGCACAAGCAGGAAAGCACATTCTTTTCTTTTCTGAATGTCGTGACGTTTTCAGCATCCTGGTCCAACCTCTTGATCACCTGCCTGGCCTCAACCACAAAAAGTGGCGCAGCCTGGGAGAGAATGGGGTTCCTCAGAAACTCTAACTCTTGCCCAGAGCCTTGCCAAGATGAGAACCACTGCTGGGCCACCAAGGGGAGGTGAAAGCCTGTTGGCCAGGAGCCAGTTCTACTGGGAAGACAATCTGGACACAGACCCACAGTGTGGGTAGCTAGGCAGAAGATACCTGCACATGGACCCACAGCAGGGCCAAGTACACATGAGGCGAAGCTGGAGGCCACAAGGATCCACCTGGAGCAGGTCTTCAGTTATAGTAACGGGTCTGGTCTTCAGTTATAGTAATGGGTCTGATGAGTGCCCAAGGCTCTACTCAGTCCTGAAAATTAGTGATCTTAGGCCCTGACTGGTAGCCTTGTACCATCTCCTCCTGCCCTGAGGTTGGAGTGAGGAAGGAGAACCAGCCCCCTCTCAGCTGCTCTGCTGTAAGAAACACAAAATCCAGCACATCCAGAAATTTCCAGATGCTGAAAATAACTCTTGTATAACACTAGTAACATTTAAAAATTAAATGACTCTTCACAGTCATCATAGTTTCAATGATAGATTTTACATTGAGTTCTAAATGGAACTCCACAAATTAGTAGAAAATTACTTAAATGAACAGGCCCAACAAAATCATCAGCCTGCAAACCTTTGGGACAAGAAGAGAGACAGAGGCAAGGGCAAGATGTGTGTGGTGGTCACTAGATAGGTACTCTACTTGTGGGGTAAGGAGTCTGGTAAAACTTTGAACTGGGATTTGCCTTTAAGCCCATTACTCTACATACAAGCATTCTTCTTTGATATGTAAACTCAAAAAATGTGGAAAATGCCAGGGTGTAAAACCATTACTAAACAATCTGTAAGAGTGCTACAGAGGTTTAAGATTATAATTTACTTACTTAGGGTTGGAAGGCCAAGGATGGGTTCAATATTTTATAATTTTACAACTCAATTACAGAATCATGCTAAAGAGAAAAAAAAGACGACTGAAGGAAGAAACTCTCACAGGACACTGAATTATGAAATAATATTCTACAAAGTATGCAACCATTCCCCTGTTTCCAGCAAACACTATTCTCACATGCTGCTGTAAAGGAGGGCATGCTGAAGGGAGGGTTCTGAACCTGGGGTCCATAAGCCTGTGTTTCATTCAGTTGTACATGTTCAAGGGGAGGGGTTCACAGCTTTCAGATTCTCAAAAGGCTTTGAAATGCCCAGAACATTAAACATCACACACTAAAAAATTTTCTGCTTGCAAATGTAGGCAGGCCAGGGAAGGGAAGAAATGATGAAACACTGTTTAAAGCTGTGGCACTGATGCTCTTTGAGCAGGCTCTGGAAACACAGCGGCTGCCAAAGCTCAGCCTGTGGAGCCAGGAACCCTCAGTAAGCTCAGGCAGTCTGGCCAGCATTACCCACCCTTCCAGAGCTGCTTCGGAGGATGCTCTCTATGGTGCAAAAGCAACTGATCCTTGCTCTGAATGGCTTTGCCCCAGAAGAACTAGAAAAAAATCCCAAGAAACTTGCCCATGAGGAAGAAAATACTTCCAATGCTGTCCAGAGATGAGCTGACACAAGGCCACTGTGGTCCCAGGACCAACACTGGAAGGGCTCAGCCCATGGAGTGCTGGGGAATGAAGAGGTCCCTGCATGCCCAGGGCCAGAATGAGGCCATGTCTCACTGCTAGTGGTCAGTGTTATTCCTCCTTCATTTTCCAAAGGACTGAAAGACAACCTCCTGGCCTTGTCCTGTCAAAGAAGGTCTCTGTTCAGTGAGAAGTAGGCACAAAGAAGGATGTTTCTGGCAGGAAGGTGTTCAGGCAAATTTGATGGCTCTTCTGCTTGTCATACAACCTGCCAGGAATGACAAGGGTTCATATGAGACACACACCCCATCACAGATGGTGCCTTTCATGTCTCTCAGAAAAGTAAGAGGAGTCCCAGGCTGGGGATAGAAGAGGAATACAGTATAACTGGACAGCAATAGTAGAGCAGTTCCATTGCCAAAAATAACCCAAGGAAAACAGGACCAGGATCTTAAACATGCTTCTCCTCAACACAGCAATGCCTGATTCCAAACTTCTTCATCATTTGCCTGTTTTAAACTATCCCATATTAAAAAATGACCGTCTCATTTCTTAGTAGTGTATCCACCACTGTTCCTGCATGGAGGCCCTTTGGTAACATGTCATTTTTATTGGGGAGATGGACAGTGGGGAAGGAGACAAGAAAGACTGATGCTCACATTGACATTGCTGCAACTTTGCACCCTTCATGAAGGAAAGCATGAAACTGGGCACTCTTTTAGCTGTGAAGCATACAAAATACCCCAGCAATCTCTTGTCATGAAAATGATCAGAATAAATAACTGAATCTGTTCAGATGTGACCAGCTCTAGAAGACTTCTTCAGAATTGCACATCTTTCAAAAATTGATCTGGGAACATATGTAGCATAGCAAGGAACCTAACAATTTCCAAGAGTGCTTTCTCTGCCACTCCCAATAAAACTCAAGGTACTCTGTTTATCTTCACAAATATGTCCTGGGACATGGGCACAATAATTATCTGTGTACCTGAAAAGTATTTCTAGAGGGTTTAGTGTTGAAAAACTCAAACCTTGGAAGTAAAACAAGGTCTAAGTGATATTGGTGCCCCAGCACTTTCTTTTCCAAACTAAAATGTTAATATTCAACTACTTTAGTTAATATTCACCTGGGTTAATAAGCAGCTATTATTGGAATTTCTTTATGAAGAGTGAAGTTATATACTAACAACCATGAGATGCCCTTTTTTTTTTTTTTTTTTTTGAGACAGAATCTTGCTATGTAGTTCAGGCTGGCCTTGAACTCACTATGTAGCCCACGCTGTCCTCAAATTCAAGGTGATCCTCCTGCTTCCGCCTCCCAAACTCTGGGATTACAAGTGTGCACCACCACGCCCAGCTGAGATTTCATTCTTTTTATTTTTTCTTTTCAATGGAATTGTTATCAAATCACAAAGAGCACAGAGTGCTTTTTATGTTGATTTACCTTAAATGAACTGTGCACAAGAGTTTCATCCAAATCAATGACCACACATTTCTTTCCATAGTCAAGCACCGTCACCTCTGGAAGGAGGTATTTAGCTGGTGGCTAAAGAGGGGAAAAAAATATTACTTCTATGTAAGAGACAAACCAATACCCTTATCATTGTATTACATTATGTTAAGAGGGTATAAACGAAAGCAAAGATTTAAATACCTGATAAAGTACATCATATAATTTTTATTAAGAACAACAGTAATATGTAGCTTACAACTGAAGTTTTACCAAACCGTTAGGAGATTTACTACTGTAAAGGTTTTTGCATCAGACAAAACTGAGTTTCAATAACAGCTCTAGCATTTTCTTAGTCATAAGCTGGGATAACAATATCATGAAAGGTTGTTATAATGGCAGTAAACACCCAGCATTTGGCCTGGCCCATATAGAGTGTCAGTTGTTATTATTAAATTGGATTACATAAGAATAAGTGTTTAATAGCTACTCTGACTATGTAGGCCCATTTCCTGGGGTCATATTTTATTTGAAATTTACTGTGGTATGTAAATATATTTTAGACCCATGTATTTTTTTCTTAGTGATTGACATTTTCTTTTTTTTTTTGGTACCAGGGATCAAACTCAGGTCCTTGCGCTTGCGGAGCAGGCAGTGGCACCACCACTGAGTTAAATCCCGGGCCCGACATTTTCAAACCCTTGAAGAGAAACTATAGACCCACCAACAAAATCCAACCCAAAAGTTACCTTTAAGCCAGCAAACAGAACTAAACCTGGTTGAAGTACAGTGGCAGCCTTATGCCTGCCCTGCTGTGGTCTAATACTAAATGAATGGACATTTTTACTGTCTGGATTCTGTGTCTCTGAAAGTTAAATTTTAATCCACATACTGTGCATTAACCAGAGAACCCAATTATGTTTTTGGAGTAACTGCCTCTGATTTTGTGATGGAAAAGTCATAAAAATTTAATAAAATGCTACGTTTTTTCAGCCAGCCTCATTCAGTTTTGGAGTATTTATTTCTGTGGGCCTTGCCTCATTCCAGAAATGATTTGAAATATTTTAGTTTACTTTGTGGCATATTGAGTGTTAACAGTTAATTTTCTATCCAACAAGGTCAAACTCTGTTTAATATTTGATACAAAACAAAACACAAGAAAATGTCTCTGTCCACTAAAGAACAGACAATTTAGTTTATCAAGTGAGACAAGAAAAACATGAAATCAAGAAGTATTCTTTTTCAAGTGGCAGGTTCCTTTTTTTTTTTTCTTTTTTTCCTTTAAACTGAACACTAGTCAATGATCAAAGGTTAATTTTGGACTTTAGCTGGTTCAATAGTGAACATAAACAGTCAATGGACAGGTTAGGTAAATTTGCAAGAGCAATGGGCAGAGAGGGGCTGCCCAGGAAGAGGCTACATGTGGGGCACAAGATTCAAACTCTAGAGGGTCTCTCTCTAGTAAGAGTGTGTGCTTCATTCTTTTCTAACACCATCCAGAAGGAAGCACCCTTGAAGGCCTCCAACTCCCTCAGCTCTAACTAAGGCCAAGCAGTCCTCCCTGATCCTGTGGCACTGGCAAGGAAGGTGAGATGTGCCTTGGAGACTAGACTGCAACACGGAGACCCAGAAAAGAGTCTCTCCTTCATTAATAAACTAGTGAATCGGCAGGTTCATTTTTATAAAATTAAAATAAATTTATAGGAAGTTTTATATCAAAAAGTGTTTTAAAAGGGAGGGGATAATCACCTCTGTAAGTGAATATAACAGAGGACTGGGGTTATTTCTGTTCTTCAGGCCACAGCAGAAGGCATGTATGTGACCAGAATAAATTTTTAAAGTTTTATTAAACAATTATGTAAGAAAAACACATTTTCACAGTGAATAATATAGACACAATTATTTCCTTTTCTATGTCCTTTCTTTTTAGTCTAGTTATACCTATCCAGTTCTTCCCCTTTGTTTATGTACTACTGAAACAACATTTTAATTTAGTAATTTAATTGCTAGCCTAGAAATTTTATCCCTATAGCATAACTGAAAACATCAAAAATCTGCCCAAAGTGGCTCAATTATTTTTCAAGCCCTAGAATAAAAATTACTTCCTTAGCATATTTAAATCACACTTACATTCTTTTATTTAAAAGGAAAAAAAATATTCTCATGTACTATTGAAGAAAGACTGGGAAGGGTGAGAATCCCACTAGGCAATTTATTGATTTTTGCATTTGTGCTATAGAGAACAAGACCAGGCTGGAGGGCAATGGGCAAGGAATGGTCTATTAATTCCCTACCTGTTTTTTAAATGCACACAGCTTCTCTGACAGCCTGGCTTTATTTAGATTAATGCAAATTCCTCAGTCTAAGTGGCAAAAGTTGTTAGCCATGTCCTGGGAAATGCAAGGATGACATAAAATTGCAATAGTGCTTTATTATTTCAGTTGATCTGTTCTGGTGATGCTTGAATCATTAACTCAAAGATGTCCTCAACCAAGTTTGCTCTAAGTCTATCAATAAAGTTTGAGTATAAGAGAAATATCATTATGATCTAGAAGGGTCTTTTAAAAATGTAAAGTTACTTGCTCAAATGCACACAGGGAGCACTGTAGGGAGTAGGGGAGCTGAAATCTATGGCAGGTGAGGGGAGAAAGGACCATGGCTTGCCACCAAAGAACTGAAAATGATGTTCACTGTACTCTTCTCCCTAGGATAATCTGAAATTTCCTATCCCTGGCAGCAACCTGGCAACTGTGAATAGTTAACACTAAAGTTACTTTCTGTGGAGTACCTGCCGCACAAACCCTTCTAAAACCTTAAAGCTTTAGTACCTTTTTTTGGTACATTAGATGATTATCTTCCTACCTAAGATTTCTCAAGGTTGGGATCTGCACACTGTGCTCCCCAAGTCACAGAGTTCAGGCAGAACTCTCAGGGCCTAATGTGGGAAACTTCAGACTGGTTTAAACTAGAACAGTTCCTCTGCTTCTATGTTCTTCATAATGTTTTCATGGAATAAAGTGTATTCCCACTTTATCATAAGGCTTAGGCAAGTAGCATAGAAACCTGTTAAAATAAATTCCTTTCTCTTCTTTTAGCACTTTTTCAGCTCTGCTGCATTACCAAAACTGAGTTTGTGTGCATCAATGTGGTGTGTGATTTCACCAAGAGTGTGGGAACAGCAAGTCTTAGTTCACAGCTTCTGTTGCATTTCTTATTTGAATATCAGTCTTCAGGTGTTCCCCTCAAGCCATGACCTCTTGAACTTTGGTGGTGTCTAAATTTATATCTTGTTATCTTCTCCTTACCCTTCAATCTCTGACCTTTGTCAAACAGCCCATGAAGATTCCCAAGGAGGAAAACCCTAAATACCACACACAGGTCAGAGACAAATGCTACTAACTGGAACTTTCAACAGTCTGGGGAAAGATATCATTTCCAATACTTATGTCAAAGATGGTTACTCAATAAATGGTCTTGGGGAAAATGAGTACCCACTTGAAAAAAGAAAAAAATGCTGGACTGCCACTTCATGCCTTCCATCAACCAAATTCCCAGATCAAAGATTTGCATTTAATGATGAAAAAAATCAAAATATTAGAAGAAAATATGGGCTGTAGAGTGGGGAGATCTTTCTAAGCATAAAATCTAGGAGCCATGAAGCATGAAATTAATACATTTGCTTAAATAAAATTAAAATTTCTTTGTGGCCAAAATGATTATAAACAAGGTGAAAAGATATATCATAAATTGGGGAGAAAGCACTAATTTATTAATTTTCTTAACATTTAAAAAGATGAATCCCAGCACTTGGGAGGCCA